ACCAAACGTATATAAAATTACATCGAGCGAAATGTCAAACTATCGAACCGTCGTGGAAATAGAGGGAAAGAGAGCAGCTTCGGGATGCGCTTTGTGGAACGTCCAAAGGTATCTAAACGTAGGGAACGGGTCAACCCCCTCCCCCCTCCCCCGAACTAGGAAAAGCATGGCGCGTGTTTATTTAACATCTCTGATAATCGAGTTATCGCCCGCTCGGCGCTGCTTTCTTTCCATTCGACTCGACGATTGTGGAGATACGCGGGACGGATACTTTCCGAGTGACCGGAGCACTCCCGGTGCAATTTATCGCGGCGGCACTCGGGAGGGAATTCCGCGTGTTTGCGAATGTCGTTTCGCTCGCTAACTAACGAGATCGGGGCCGCCGGTCGACGTGTCGATGTATCCGAGAATGTAATCACGAACGTAATTGATACATTATTTTCTCTGGACACAATGAACGAACAGAGGAGAAGTGCGGCTGTCGCTCGAAACTGTTCGAATTCACACTCGTATAGTGTGGTCTGTCAAAATTGAATAATTCTTACAGACCAAAATACGTAAACGTGTAAATAAATAACGAAAGGCTCTTAACTTTAAGTAGGGTTTCTTATTTAACGGACTTTTAATTGTTATTTATAGATAGGTAAATGGTAAAGGTATAAGTAGATAGCAAACACAAGAAAATGTTTGCCATCAGTAAAATAATGCGGAAATACAGAAAATGAATAAAAATACGGAAAAAGAAAAAGAAAAAAAAAGCGCAACTACGAAAAGAATTATGTACAAAATATTGAAACATTAAAATAAAATAATACTAGACACATGAATGATAATGAAAGTGCGCGAGAAGCAAAAACGTATAGAAAAACAAAAAGGTAACTTAAATTAATATGCTTAACACGTGGACTCGAACTTAAAAGTTAACTTGTACTTGACGATTTAGAAATGACTTAATAAATGAACGTCAGTTATTTGTCAATTCGATTTTTTCAAATGTGAAATAAAATTTTTCGTTTCAATTTAAATTTAATAAAACTTTTACCGTGAGTTTTGATGAAAAATTCAATTCAATCTTTTTTTTTCTTTTTTTTGAAAGGTGAAGTAGAATTTTTACCGTGAATTTTGATATGAAGAATTCGATTTGATCTTTTTGAAGGGTGAAATAAAATTTTCACCGTGAGTTTTGATGAAGAATAAATATAATTTTATGTAGCATGTTAAAATAGCATGTCGATATAAAAATCGGGCGTCAGGCAGAAAATCACCTAATGTTAAACAGTGGCGGTCAACATATTAATTTAATGTAACATCCGCTTTCAATCGAGATAAGGCAAAAATCAAATCGTACACGGAAAGAATAATTTTGCTGAATCCAGATCTAAAAATAATGTTAAATAATCAAAATAATTTTGTGCGAAAGTCAAAATGATTGCTAGAATATCAAAACGTTTTTACATAGCAGTGCTTATCAGTATTAACATTCCAACAAATCATTTTGATTATTCAACAAAAAATTATTTTCAGATCTGTATTCAGCCAAATTTTTAGACCTTTCGACAAAATCGTTCCCTCCGTGTACCGGCTGCGTTAAAATCCAGCGAATCACATCCCAGCTGTCTGTCAGTCTACCGGACCTCGTCATCAAGATGCAGGCCGATCGCCGCATGATGGTCGCCCACAGTTTAGCCGCGCCGAAACAATTCGTTTAGGCCGACAATCTCGTCCCACAATTACGAAGTTTGTCGCGCCCGGTGGATGAAAACCCCGCCGCGGGAGCGCGACGGGGCGGCGGGGCCGGGGCGCAGAACAAGGAGGCAAAATCCATCTGGTGATTTCACAGGCAATTATGCCGCGTCGCCGTGGACGGGCGGCGCGGATGGCTTACTCTTATTTAACGCCAATGTGGGCGCGCGGCGCACGCCTCGCCGACCACCGTGCATCCCGGCGCCAATCGCTCGCTCGCCCGACCGCCATCCCATTTGCGCGAAATTGTCAATGATAGAATGGCACGAGAGATCGAAAACCCCCGCATTCAGCGGTCCCGCGTTCCCTCTTCACCCCCCCCCCTCCCCTCACCCTGCGGCACTCTCCTTTTTCTTTTTTGTGCTTCTCTCTCTCTCTCTCTCCTCCCTTTCTTCCTCCTTTTCCGACCTAAAAACCGACCGTGCGACGGATTTCTTCCTTTATTAGTTTAGCCGCTACAAGGGAATATTCACGTACAAATCGCCCGTTTTCCAATTTCGTGCAGGCAGCTCGTGTGTGATATCTCTGGAAGTTTACGGAGTAAAATGATCACGGCGTTCTTTGATTTCGGAAGATATTCGAAGGGGGTACATATAGATCCGTTCTGCCACTCGAAATTGTATTTGCCCGACGATAAAAACGTCGGATAAATCGTCGAAGATATATCATTGTTTATTAACGCCATGAAACTTCGAACATGTAAAACGCTTGTTTGATCACCACTGGTGGTCCGATAAAAATGTCGCTGGTTTCAACATACAGTCTAACGATTAGATATCTCTGCCACGAAGATATATATATATATCCATCTTTTTTAAGATATACGAACTCGAGACAGACGGTATCGCAGAGAGACGTCCCTTGCCGCACAGACAATTTCCGTCTGTCCTATTTTGAAAATTAACAATCGGGATTTGCATTGCAACTCTCGCGCGACAACTCTCAGATTTAATATCAACGCGCTCGGATTACGAGATTATACATCGTGGCGGAATCGCGCGCGCGCGCGCGCGAGACGCGTTTCCTGTCGAGCCCTCGTAATTTCGCGTGCGAGTTGTCGCTGCTCGCGTCGTTATAACGCCGCGGAATTGCGGCCCCGAGGTAATCGCGGATAGTCCCGAAGACGCTGTCTCACGCTCCTCCTTTTGCCGTCGCGCGAAACTTCCTTTGCATTTCGCGCGAAAGGACCCAAAGCTGAATGCGGACACAGATTCACCTACCTCCCCGCGATTATTCTCGAAAGAATTGGCCTGGAAATCAGCGGTTGTATTGTAAGCGATTTCTTTTTCAAACAAATTTTCCTTCGAACCACGAAAAAAAAATCTCATTCTCCTCACCGAGCCGCTGAAAGATGCAAATATATTGCCCGACTAGATCGGACTTTCGGATGCTTTTTATTATTTAAACTTTGAACATGCGCAAAAATTCTTTTCGATTTAATTTATAAAATTCTCAAAATGTCGCTACCCCGTTTTTTGTTTCTTCGCCTGAAGTTTCGAATCCTTTTGTGTAACCGCACCTAAGTAGTATAATTTATTGACACAATATTGGCTCAATATAATATATTTCCAATGGACTATCAATAAATTGAATGATACTAGTGTACTTTACACTTCTATCCAAGTGTTGTATTCTTGGTGACGTTATGATAGGAAACACTGCTATCGAAGAAGAAAATCGATCCTCATTTAGGACTATCGTATGTTCCAGTATGACCGATCAACGTTTCGCCCCAAGTCTCGCTTCTTACCTAAACAACACAGCCTATTTCCTTTATATCCCCGCGCCTATATATATATATACACGCATACACCTATACGCACAGAGCCCCGATTCCTTCCTTCCTTCCTCTTCCTTCATCCTTTTTCGAGAACGGCAATTTGTTGCCAGGCGCGAAGTCGAGTTTTCCCGAATGTCGCCAGCGCGAATGGGATTAGCGCGGCGAGAAGCGGTAATCAGGAATAAAAATGCGTCAACCGGCGGCATTTACGCTAACTAATCTCCTTCGGCGGGCGGAGAGGCGCTAACGGAGTTAGCCGGCTTCGTCGCCCAGCTCTCTCGCTTACTCTCTCTATCGCTCTTCGTGTCGCTCGACCGTCGCTTGTTAGCCGGGTAATTGGCCATTTTTATGCTAAGCAGAGCCTCTTCGTCGTCGTCCTCGTCCTCGTCCTTGTCGTCGTCGTCGTCGTCGTCATCGTTGTCGTTGTCGTCGTTGCGAGCATCCCCTCGCGCAACGCGCGTCTTTCTTCCGCCATTTCGCGGCTTAATCCTGCGAATAGTGCTATCCGTGAACTCCTTTCGACCATGTTCACGGCAAAGCAGCACGCGAATACAAAGGTCATCTCACGAGATCGTAACGTTGATGCCTCTCGACGAACCGTATGCGACACATCCGTTTTTCCGCGCGACGACATTCTATATGTACATACATATTTTCGCTGGCAAACTCATTATCCGTCGCGATGCGCTCTTCAGCCCCTCGGTCGAGGTCCAATTTTCCTCCCCCTTAACCGAGCGTAAGCGCGAGGCGTAATCCGGATGTTCGCGCGCGCGCGCGCGCGCGGCCTCCACCCCGCCCCTCCGGCCGCGCGAAACTCAGCCGCGACTCTCTCCTCGTGCCTGCCGACTTAGCGCCGGGCAACTTTTCGTATTAATAATCGGTATAATAATTAGTATTTTCACGCGCGACTTAGCAGGAAGGACGCGCCGGCGTCGACGTCGGCGTCTCGCGAGGGGGGGGGGGGAGAGGAAGGAGAGCGGAGGGGCGGGAGGCGCTGGGAAGTTCGTCTAAGATCTTGATTTTAAGTTCGCCGGGGCGAAGGAGAGGCGCATATTTCACCGCGCTAATGTCCCGCCAGATAAACTACAATATTAGCTGCCTTCGCCCGTGATTTAATTTAACTTTGCCCCGGCGCGACATCCGCCGCCTCCTCGAGCTCGCGCCCTCTCCTCCTCCTCCTCCTCCCCCTCCCCTTCCCCCCGCGAGCTGCCGCGCCGCGCGGTTCGCCACCGCGGGTTTATACCGGTAAAATCTCCATCGCGAGTTACACGTGGATTCTCATTCGAGATCGATTTCGCGAATCCCGCGAAAGATGCGCGGCGAAAAAGAGACACTCTCGTCCTGACTCTCGTTTAATCGTCGCTCCAACTGTTATACGTACATTTGCGACGTCGTCGCCTCTCTATTTCGCGCGATCTGCGCGACTGAGATGAATCAGAGCGAGGAAGAAGAAATGATTTTGTTTCAATTTTACCTGTACTGTATTGTTCCAATGCAGAAGTGCACATATTTATTTCCTTCTTGAAGAAATTTGAATTATAATTTAAGGGAAGATTCGAATTAAGCTAGCGTTGCCTTCTGGTTCCTCAGCAGATCCTCCGTGAAGTTGTCCCCTTTGGAAAACCGAGTGTAACTGTAATAATGAAACAGTATTATACACATGAGTCTTGTAACAATGAATATAATAATACGAATTCAATGTCTTATGACAAATGAAATAAATTTCTTATAACTCCAATTTTCTGGTGCGCGCGTCCACTTACATATGAGTGTATTTCAATTTTTCAGCGGTGGACAAAGACGGCTTCGTCGATCTGACAGACTCCACGAGATGCATTTGCGTAACTTTGATGTCACTCGCACTGATTTTGCCGTCCTGTCATCGATAAACAAAATAAATAAAATATAAAACAAATATTTATATGTACACACCTTGGTATATATAAGTATAAAGCATTCACATAAATTGACGTAAACGTTTTACATCTCTACGTTTAAAAAATAAATTAAAAAACAGTTTTATTGAAAAATAACATTTATTTTTAACAATCTTGATATTTTTTTTCTTTTATTATCACCTTTTCCAAAAAAAAAAAAAAAAATGCAATAAATCGAGAATTTATACTTATGACCAAGCACATGTATTTTATAATTTATATACTGTACATGTATATAAAATAGTTTTACGTTCGTACTTCAATTGTATGTTTAAAACATATACCTAATCCACAAAGCATAGTCCTATTATCATTCGTTTGTTCCGATCGCGTGAAAAAGTTTTGCCGAATTCGTCTCAAAATACTGCAAAAGCTTAATGTTGCGCGGTATAACAGCAGCGATTTGAATTAATTATTGGAGTTAAGCACAATCTGCACCGCTTCGGAAGACACCCTCCCATGTTCCTATCCGCATAATCACTTATCACAGCAACGCGCCCTCCCCCCCCCCTCTCTCTCTCACCCTCTATCTCTATATATCTTTCTCTCACGCTCTCGGGATGCGTCACGCTCTCCGGAAACTCACTCGCTAATTAGACGCACAGTTTGGATACTCGCGTTCTTCCGGGAGCTAAGTGCCGCCGTATAACTTCGTTTTCTCCGATGCGTATTAATTAATAGCTTCCCGCGCCACTCGTTCCTCGTATATACCTCGAAGACGCTCCCGACCTTTTAACGCAGGGGCCCGATTAATTCGGATTAATTCGATCGGGTGCACACGCATGTATCATATGAATGAAATCGCCAAATTTATCACTCGTCTCTGTAGATCGTATAAAACCGTGCGTTTTTAGTAGATTTTCATATTTTTTTTTTTTTATATTCTTGAATAAAAGTTGTGAGGAATGAAGATTGAATGAGCACATCAAGAAATTCGGTCAATCTTCGATGCATTTACAAACTACTAGACGTCGGATAATAAATTAATGACTTCCAAGAGGATTTGACGCATGAACGACATAATATCAATATTTTACATAAATATTTACTATTTATGCCGTATATATTTATGGTCGTCTAATCGAAAATTTTCGTTTCTATACCAATAAAGTGTCACTTTTACACCTGTTTAGGTAGAAAAATTGCAAAAATGGATTAGCGAATAAACAAATAGAAGAAAATCAATAAAATAATTAGAAGACGGATCGAGTAAGTGAAACAATTAAACGGGGCGTACTCGAGGGTACGGAGGGTCGACGATAGACACGTCGAAGACGTCTGAGGGACTTAACGAGCGTCATAACTAGCGGGAATGGCTGTCTGGCTTTCGATCTTGCAGGACCGCTGCGGGCCCTAAACCGTGTATCATTATAACGCATAAGATAATAACCCCCTCGACGTTCAGCGAGGCGTGGGGCGAAGCGAGCGGGGGATGAAGCGAAGCGCCGAAGGGGGTGGCCCGGTCGCCCCGACGCTCTCGGCACCGTGTGCTAATAAACCTGGTCTACGTTTCCTCGGTTATATCGCGGCACCTACAGCTCTCCTCCGCAGTCCCCTCCCGCCCCCCCCCCGCCCCTTCGATCTCCCCCAACCCGCGCCCGGGCGCGCCCCCGCGTGCACGCACACCGTAGGGTGCACACCTAACGATATTATCGTCATTACGCACTATCTTACTTCGGAAGCTACCCTACAAATGATTCTCGGGAGTCGCGCGAGAAGCGCTTTTCATTACGGCGCGGCGCTGCACAGATACTATCCAGCGACGACAACAACAACAACAATAACAAAACGGTTCGGCCATTAGCGATGCCGTTCCGCAAGAGAGTCCGAGTCAACAGTAGCGGCTCGGAAGATCGATCACCATAGCTGACAAGTAAAATTCCGATTACCCAGGCTAAATTCGTATACGTGTCTGAATATCTCTCTCGAATTTTTCGTTGAAAGTGATTAGATACTTGAGACAGTTTTTACCTTCATTTATTATGCTTGTCTACATTTCATAAATATTATTTTATTTATACAGGTACTTTTAAGTCACTCTTCTCTATAAACAACAAAATGATATCTTGAATTTTTTAACTAATGATCAAACAACAAGGTGTACAGACAATGAGACTCAAGAATTAATTAAGTTGACAAAGGGACAATGTACGATTAATATATAAATAAATATGAATTGATATTAATCCTTTGGATACGGCTGAATTAGCGAAGCTGTACGACGTACTGCGCTTGGCCGTAAAATTCGAAAAAAATTAAAAAATCCAGTAAACAATTGATCAACTAACAATAATATTATATCAATATTGCAATTTCCTACTCAACAATATAACTGTTGTATTGTACATGTGTTATATTTATACTGTTGAGCAGAAAATTATAATCAATATAATATCACTATTAATTAATGTTTATCAGAGGAAACGATGTTTCGATGAAACAAGCGCAGATGAAAATAAATGAAAACATTTCCACTTAATAACGACAAAAGCATCGAGGTACAGAAAAATGCTAATAGCGTTTGTCCCAAAAGACCGTTCAGAGGGAAGCCACGATAATGACATTTCATTTCAAAGAATAGCGGGAAGCCGCTATAGTGGCGCGTAGTAATCAAAGGGTTAATGCACTCACCTTTGCAATCGCCGAGGCCTCCTCGAACGCCGACAGTCTCGCCAAAGTGATCGCCGCGTTGATATCAGCCCCGGTCAATCCGTCAGAGAGCTGAGCTAGTTCCCTCAGGTCCAGCTCGGCTATGCTTATATTTTGCGAACCGCACAGAACTGTGAAGATCGCCTCTCTTTCCAACTGAAACGAAAAAACGGTGAGTATTGGTAAAGAAAAATTATGAAGCCACGCCGAGTTGGGTTTATAAAAAATATATTTACTTCATCCGGTAAAGAGCAGTACAAATACTTGTCCAGGCGTCCCGGCCTCAGGAGAGCCGGATCCAACAAGTCGGGCCTCGAGGACGCTGCCACGATCACCACCCCCTCGCGATCCTCGACCCCGTCAAGCTGCGTCAGCAGTTGGTTCACTACCCGATCGGTGACACCGCTAGAGTCGTGCCCGCGTCTGATTAAAATAAAATGCATACAATATATTTGTCATAATAAAAACAATTAACATATATTTTTTTACGTGTTGAAAATAAAGAAAAGATTAAAATGAGATATGAGCTCCGATAATTGTCTACATATTTATGAATATTGCGACAGCTGTGTATTTGTCTACTTACAATAGTTATCTATTTATTTATATATCTTTTTACATATCTCTATTTTATCTTGATTTTACTTGGACTAAATTAAACTATTTTTTAAAAGCATGCCTTGCCGCAAGTTATATTTACGATTACGAGACTACAAGATAGGTATAATATTTAATCTGTAGAGAGAATATTTGCTGTCGATTATTGTAGCCTATCATTAGGATATCAACAAACAAAGATGGGATGGGTAAATTTTTTTTTTGTACGATCAGTTAATCCAGGTATGACTCACCTGGGCGCAAGACTGTCGAATTCGTCAAAGAATAAAACGCACGGCCTGGCGCGACGGGCTCTAAAACAATATAATAAATTTTAAAAAATCCATATATCATATAAACTCCGAACATCAGTATTGAAAGAAAGAGAAGAAAATTTGAAGAATTATTATACCTTTCGAATACATTTCTTACGGACTCCTCACTGGCGCCTACGTACTTCGATAGCAATTCTGGACCCTGAAGTAAAATTTATTATTTAAAGTTACATTTCAAAACGTTGCTTTCAAGGAAAATTTTACTAAAAAGCTATAATTTACTTTAAGTGTGTTATAGACTTTAACTAAAATTTTCCTTAAAAGCAACATTTTGGAATGTAGCCTTAAAAAAATGATAAAAAAACCGCATTTATACATCATTTAATTGCAATTAAATTATTATTTTAATTAAGGATTTCGTGTGAAACTGACGCATAAAATAAAAATAATGAATAAAACATTATTAAAAATTATTAATAAATTTCATTTTATGCCTGATTGAAAATTGCCAAGCCAAGCTTTCTATAAAGAGTAGCTGTAACTTCGTTCCGTGATAACTATAAAATTATTCTTCTTTTTATAATTCCAACAGATTTAAAGAGAATTAAAACTAAACTCCATTTTGAGTATTCTAATTATAAATGAGTCTTAGGTTTCACCTTGATGCTGATCAAATTCACGCCGCACTCGCCGGCGATCGCCTTAGCCAGCATCGTTTTCCCGGTGCCGGGCATCCCGTACAACAGTACGCCGCTCTGAAGCTTTATCGGAGCTTTCTTGAAGATCTCCGGGTACTTGAGCGGCCACTGCAGAATCTCCGTGAGAGAGCTCTTCGTGTTCGCCAGTCCGCCGATATCGGACCAAGAGAGACCGCCGCTCTTGTACAACTGCACGCCCTGCAGGGACATCGGCGTGTAACCCTCCAGTGCGACGCTAACGTTTTCGTCCGTCACGACAATCGGTGCCTCTAATCTTTCTGCCGCTTTGAGCAGACAAAAATTCGTAAATATAACACGTTGCAAAATAATCAAGCTAAATTTTCTTGGACTTTCCTGGCGAAAAAAATTCTCATAATATTTCATATATTTTTAAGAATTTTTTATTTTTAAAATTTATCAAGATTTCTGAAAAAAAAAAACCTTAAACCTCTTCAGATTTTATTAGTTTTTTTCGGAAATTATAGAAGTCTCGAAAATCTTAAAGTATTTCAGAATTCATATACATATGTAAAGAATTCTAGAAAAGATGTAGACTTTCTCAGCACTTATTTTAAAAAATGTTTAAATTCATATTAAAAAATCTGAGAAATATTTTAAAAAGTTAAAATTTTACAAAAATGCTAAACAATTCTAAATAATTATATGAGAAATTCTAAGAAAAATTTTCACCAGGATTAAGACAAAACTAAATATAATTAGCCTGTGATCATCTTACTATAAAAATGATTTTTAATTAACACTGCTGTTAATTAAAATATTGCTATTTGCTTTTACTGGTACAATTTTTTTCTTCTGATTAAATTCTTTATTTAAAATTATTGCGGTGTTCATGGGTATATTTTTGTGATTATTTGTGTATCTCATTACCGTGGAGCTTCCACGCGACGAACCGCGCTTTCTCCGCCAAGTCGACGAGATCCTGAGGCATCCAGCCCTCGGTCTTGTTTCCATAGTAATTCCAATTTATGTCTCCGGGCACGCACAACTTGTCCTCGAGCGTTAATCGCAAAATATCGATTCTATCCGCCTGGTTAACCACGACACGAGTTAGTGTTACGCAGAAATCAACGAGAGAACGTCCCAACTTACACGGGATAGGGAGAGTTTAATTAAGAAGGTGCGGAAATACGAAGGCGCGTTAATCGAGAAATGCACCCGGCAAACAAGATACAACTAGCACAAAGAATGGAATTTAGAGAATTGCAAAATAATAAATATGACTCTAATATATTTCATATTTTACTTTCTATTTCTTTTTTCGAGCGAACTCTCTTTGAACATCTAAATTTCAGTAATCGTGTTTCGTGAAAATAACACGAATTAAAAATGAAATTTTGTGATGTATAAATTAAACCTAATTATGTAAATAATGTATAGCATTTAAAGAAAAACATAGTGGCAACTATAAAAATGACAACATATTTTATAGTATATAGAATTTAATAAATGTATAGTTGAATAAACTATTAAAATAAATTCAATGACTTTAAAATAGTTTATTCAGCTATATAACTTTACATGTAATGTAAACTAAATTTATCTTTATAGTTGGCATTATTCTATAGTTATATTTTAGTTGTCATTATTATGTATTTTTCTTCTGAATGTATGTAATGGGCTTCTAAATTTCTTGTGAATTTACGTAAGATAAAAGATCGATTTTTTTTCAGATTTCGCGCATGTTACTCTCTTCGCATAATTTGAAATAACTTTATATGTTATATGGATTTTTTTAATCGGATCGATTGTACCTTCTCGAGACTCGGGATCTTCAAGATTGTCCTAAAAAACTGTACTCCTCTGGCCGGCCGTAATCTCGAATCGATTTTACTCACGTCGGCACAAGTGGCGACGATCGAGATGTAATGAGAATCTTGGTATTTCGTGATGGTATTGATCAGCATGTCAGCAATTCTAAAATTCAGTATAAAATCAATCAAGAGATTCTGTTGATTAAGATGATCATCGGACATTTCGTATTAGAGAATAAATATGAAAAAGGTTTTTTGTTTCTTTTTAAAGAATAATTTTTGAGAAATAATATTTATAAATATATTTATAAATAATCTATGAATGATAATCACGAGCGTCGATTTTGCAAATCACGAAATTATTTATATAACAATTTTTTACCTGCCTTTTCGATTAAATTAACAATTACTTTACTTATGATATTAACAATTACCATTTGGCTTAAATTAATCGATAAAATGCAGCTCTGTTTACCTGGAAGCGTTTATCGTTTTTACCACGTCATTTTGTGACGCAGTGGTACTGCTATTGGTAATGCTATCCAAATCATCCAGGAATAGTATGGACGGTTGATGACACAAGCATTCGTTTATAATGGGCATAATGATTCCCTGTATTGCCTCCATCTGTTTGCCTAATTAATAATCGCTGTGTTTAGTAAATCTACAAGATTTTTTCGTAACTAATACGGCAAAAATTTGACAGATCTCAAATTGCACTTTTCAATTATTTTCTAAAATCTTTTTTTAAATATATTTTATTTTAATTATAACATAGATATAATACAGATATGAATTTAATTTTAATTTAGGTTTGGAAATATATAAAATGACTTTAATAAATTATGCTAAAGCGGACTCCAAAATTTATAAATTAAACAATTCAATAACCTTTTTTTCTAAATGGTAATAAATTAAAATACGATTATTGAATAGATTAGTTATAATTTATTAAAAACAAAATTAAAAGAAAATAACGATTAAACCTTTCTATATAAATGTTATCGCAAGAAAAAGGATAAACTAATATAAAATCCCACAATTTGGATCTATTAATTCTGTGAAAGTGGCTCATCCTTTGTAGATGGAGAAATGTGAAGAATTGAAATTACTGTCGCTAAAAATGATTCCAAAGTAAATCAAAATATTCGGTCCGTATGATAATATATATATATATATATGTTTTGTGCATCGTTAATCGCGCTTTAATTTGTACGCCGATTCATTAGCTCTACGTTTATGTTGTATTTTATTTTTCATTTCAAAAGTTCTTTGGAAGTTCTTACTTTCTTATTTAAAAACATAAACGCTTTCAAGATTTGGAAGTTCGACAGAAATTAAAATTCGTCACATTCGATATTGCAGTTAATTGCGCGAAAAAAAAAACTGACGCGATATTACCTTGTAGCGACCTGCAATCAATCGTGTGCGTGTACACGAAATACGGCGCCTCGCAATAATGTTCGATTAGCTTTTTGCAGACGGTCGTTTTGCCGGAACCCATGTCGCCGTAGATCAGAATGTTCTCCCGATCGTACCGGAAGTCCACCGCTCGCCGCAAGCCCAAGCTGAGGTCGAGCGCGATCTCGCAATGTTTAAGGACACCCTCTATATACCTAAGTAAATATATTTTTTTTATCGCGATTTGGCGCAACATATAAATCGGACTTTAAAATCTGATTTATTACTTGGCGATTCAAAAAGCCGCTATTATCAGGCCGTTTTATCAATAGCAGCTGTAACTACCATAAAGATGTGCGAATCGTGATATTTTTTATTACGCCGAATCGTATTTTATTTCTTTGTTCAAATCCGAATCGAATCGACAAAATTTTACCAGAGTCAAATCGAATCATTGAAACATTTAATCAATAATTAATTATTGTTAAGCTTAAATTTTAATGTGTACACGATAAAAACAATTTCTACGTAGAAAAAAAAGTATTAATTATATGAAATACTTATTAGCAAAAAATATGAAACATTTTATATGAATGCCAAGATATATATGATTCGTATATTCAAACTATACGCAAGAGGCAGGGAACGCTTGCATCCTCTCTCTAAATTTTGGCAAGGAGAAACAATTAAATTATAAAATTACTTTTTGGAAAAAAAAGTATTAAAAGTATTAATTATATGAAATACTTATTAGCGAGAAATATGAAACATTTTATATAAATGAATTTTATATGAATCAAGATATATATGATTCGTATATTCAAACTATACGCAAGAGGCAGGGAACACTTGCATCCTCTCTCTAAATTTTGGCAAGAAGAAACAATTTAATTATAAAATTACTTTTTGAGAAAAGACTGGAAAAAAGTATTTAAAAAATATACCTGAGATGTACCTCAAAGATTGACTTTAATATAAGTATTTTAATAAGTTTTGTATGAAATAAATTTTTGACTCTTCTTCCTGCCCCTCCCCCCTCCCATTCGCCCCGGCTGGGTCATCCGAAATTTTCGAACAATTCGGATTCGAAACACAGAGATTAAAATCCGAATCAAATCGCATTTTACTTAATTCGATTCGATTCATATGTATTTTAATAGTTCGCACATCTCTAATAAAAACCTACACCGTGGTCACACGCATCTCATTACCTCATGGAGATTTTCTCCATCCTTTCCGCGGTACAGCGCCAATCGAAATTCGACTTGCTCGGGAACGACAGCTCGCACGTGGCAAGGACGGTCAAGTCCTCCGCGTCCTTCGCGTCTACCGTCGCGTAATCGGCATTCTCGAGGGACATCTTTACCAAGCACTTTTCGCCGCCGTCGAGCAGAATTGTCGCGGGCGAATTAAGCAGCAGTGGCTCGTGCGTCGAGTGGAGTTTCGCGTAATTTTTAAAAACTTCCGGCGTCACCGACGGATCGGAGGGATAAATGTTCACCGGCGACGCCTTCGGTGGCTCGCCCTCCTCCTCGATCGTCCGCACGATCACTCTGCTTCCCGGCTTCAGTTCCAAAGTGATTCTCAAACCCGCCGACACATACGCGCGCGAGTGGATCGAATTCAAGTCGAAATATTGTCTGTCCAACGACGCGGAGCACTTGTCCAAGATGTCTTCGAGAATGTAAATTCTCGCGACGAGTTCACGCGAATTGGTGGGTCGAAGGTCGAAAACGTTCGAATTCTTGCTGTTGTCGTTAGCGCGCTGTTGTCTCGACACTTTGCTGACCTTACCTGCAAATAAATTGGTTTTATAAGCCCCAGTTACACGCGGAACGAACAGTTTTGCTTAAGTAGTATAAAAATTAGACCGAATACAGAGATCTTAAAATATATAATCATGGATCATCAAAATAAGAACTCTCGATGATCCAAAAAGTTTTGACATTCTACACTCAGAGAAAAGACATAGTAATAGCGACAATATAGGGACAATTATACAAGTTTTATATATTATGGAATTCTATAAAATTTATCTATAATAAAAAATTTAAAAAAAGATCAATATAGACTTATTAGATTACAATTATACACGGAGAGAATTTTATTTTAAAATTTACCCCGCAAATTATGTTAATCGATCGGGATAATATATAGTATTTCCATGAATTTTATGTGATTTTCACGATTTTCATTCAGAAATCATTAACATGATTTTCAGGATAAATTAAAAAAAAATTGTCTCCGTGTAGCTTTTCAAAAACTATCTGTCAGATTTAGTTGCCATCACTACATCAGTTGAATAAATTATTTTATTCAACTATATACATTGATTTTACATATAAAACTTTTCTAATTGTCACCTACATACATATAATTGTCATTGCTATGTTTTTTCTCTGTAGAACGTTAACATTTTTTGCAACATCATGCTTGAGCGTCCTACATAATTATTTTCAGTTTTGTATCTGTACCTAATTTTTACATCCAATTTTTACTTCAGCAAAATCGTTCTTTCTGTATGTAATAAAAAATTGAGCGCGTGAATTTTAAGCAAAATATTCTCTTGTGTAAGAAATTTACATATCATCGTTCCTCTCGATCTTGCGTTTCTCGGCATGCTGCTCCTCGGAATCAGAATGTGATAGGGACCTCGCAGGATCATGTCGTGGGCATTCAAGTGATCGTAGGACTCGAAGACCGGCAGAGGATGCACACGGAACTCGCGAGGCGCGATTTTACTGCGGAAGCTCTGCAGCAAGGCATAATTTGCGTTGTCCCTCGAATCCTCGTCATGATCTCGTGTTCTGACAAGATTAGACCAGATATTGGTCAAAAAACCTATACTCTTGGTCTCTTTCTTAACGACCGCGTCCTTTATCGTTGCGTTCGCGATTGTATCAAGCACGTGCACTTCCGTGAATTCCTCGAGTCTCCCCCACGTGACGTTCGGCTTTAAATCCTCTACAAGGATCACGTACAAAATATATCTTTTTAAAATATCCTTGGTATTAAAATATTATATAAAATATTTAATATGTAACATAAAATATTTTATATAAAATTATGTATTTTTATATATAATATTCGTATAATATATATATATATATATATATTGTACTAATATTGTATATAAAAGTACACAATTTAATAAAGTCATGATATTATTAAAATATTAATACAATATATATATTCTTATACGATGCATTCCATTAAAATATATCCTGATATGTTTTAATATTTTAATAATGTCATACACGACTTTAGCAATAAATTCTTTGACTTCTTTCTTTGCATAATTCAACAATTCTTAATAATGATAAAATAATATTGATTAAAATTGATATAATAAAAACGGAGTAATTCAGCGTTTACTACTAAAATTTACTATTAAAATGTATCAGGATATATTAATATTAAAATATATCCTGATATGTGTGACATTAAGATATTAAAATATATCCTGATATATTTTAATATTTTATGTCACACACACATGACTTTAGCGATAAATTCTTTGACTTCTTTGCATAATTCAACAATTCTTAATAATGATAAAATAATATTGATTAAAATTGATATAATAAAAACGGAGTAATTCAGCGTTTACTACTAAAATTTACTATTAAAATGTATTAGGATATATTAATATTAAAATGTATCCTGATATATTTTAATATTTTAATGTCACACACACATGACTTTAGCAATAAATTCTTTGACTTCTTTCTTTGCAAAATTCAACAATTCTTAATAATGATAAAATAATATCGATTAAAATTGATATAATAAAAAACGGAGTAATTCAGCATTTACATAACTGAGAGTAGTAAAGCTATTGCTCGGAATTTTGCACAATCAAGTATTTATATCACACAAAAGAAACAAACGACTTGCCCACAATGAAAGTCACGGAGGAAAACTTTGAGATCCACGCCACGACTGGCTGTCCCTTCGCGACGATTCTCACTTGGTTCAGGAGATCCGATTGTATCTTCTCACTTTGCAACGTCTACCGCCGAAATACGGGCAATCAATTAATTAATTCATCATTGGCGTAAGTCGACGTATATGATCGAGCGTTATCATACCAAAAGTTCGCGATCGATCGCCGTTTGAGGCGCGACCTCGACGCTTGTTAACGTGAAAACATTTGCCACAGAGGACACGAGTACTTCATCTCCATCCTGGATGTTCAAACTTCTCGCGAATTTCGCCCCGATACATAACACTTCGTCGTCGTTAGCGCGAAAGATGGTAGAAAAGTAGAACTTCCTCTCGTTATGCGACACTTCGATTACATTCACCTGTAATCAAATTCGTCGTCGCTGATGATATTGTCCAGAGATCCGAAGAATTTGGCGTACCTACTATTAATTTTACGCTTATCTCGTCATTCTTGCGCGATCAAACTGTTTATAACTGCAAAAATTTATGGGGAAAATCACTTTTTATATATTCGAAGTGTGTTTCTTTGAAAATTGCGTTTCCTCGACAGGCAAAGTTTATTATTGTTGTTCCGCTCGGACGGTGCATTCTCCGTTGAAATTTCCTGCTACCGTTCCCCGTCTATCAATCACGTGACGTGACGTGACACGTCAGAGAGGCCCCGCACTGAGCGCTAGTGTAGCGTAGAGTCCCTAGCCATGCCTTGGCTAGGGACTCTAGTGTGTTGGACAGTCTTGCTGGCGCGTCAAAAGCACAGAAAAATGTAAACAACGTAAGGTGCGTAAGCAGTAAGCAAATCCAATGATTTTTATTTGCTACTTGTTTACACCGCATTTTCTTACGTTCCTCGGCTGCAATTAGCAGACTCGTTACGTTCCTCAGGCGTTTTATGCGTGACGTAACGCAACGTTCTCTCATAAGATGGCGCGAGGCGCCGTGTGTTTACAATCATTTATGCGGTGGTGACTGGTGTGTCAGATTCTATATAAACGCGAACTAACCTTGTCGTTCGAACGGTGCGTCGAACGGGCAGCCGACAGATGTGCGAAGCAATTGTTCGCCGTGATGTACTTGACGACAAAACGCTCGCGTTCCATCTTGGCGTAAACGGCACGGCCACGAATGAGAGACACACACACAATCTAACCGACATGTCACTCTGCAACCCAATGAACTTTGCACTGCGAGCTACACCGTGTTCCCGAGCAGACTGTAATTTACATTTTGTCACGAGCATTACTCGTTAAATTATCCCCATACAGAGAACAAACATTCGTTTACATATATGATGTGAATTTATTTAGAATTAATCAAAATCGAAATGATGTAGGCAAATTCTGAAATGCTCGAGAAAAACTTCAGCATTGACATAAAAATTTCACAATAAAATTGATGCAAAGCCATAATTATATAAAGCTTCGTGTTTTTTGAGAAAGAAATATAGAATATAATATATAGGTAGCGTAAGAAAATACCAACAATAGATACAAGAAATCTTAAAAAATGCACTAATTGTTTCCTTGCATGTGAGATAAATATACAAGTTATATCTTCGATTGGGCTATATATTTCACTGAAATAAAGAACTTGAGAGATTATTGACTCGCCGGGAAGAACTTCTGGAAAAAAAACGCGAATCCCAATTCGAACCGTTCGATTTTTATTACCTCTTGAGATAGCTACGCGACTGTCTACACAGCTCCGCGGCTCGACCAACCACTCTGTCGGCATTCGGTTCCACGCGCCGTCGCGAGATGTCGCCCGCGGCGGGGACGGCGCGGATTGGCCGGCGCGCGGGCGACGCCGGCCAATCGTCGCGCCGCGACCGGCCGTAACTGTGAGTTTGAAATCAACATCAACAGTCGGCAGTCAGTTAATCACCGACCAGACCCAGGGCAGAACGCGGGCGCGAGCGAGGAGACGCGACCGTAGCACAGCCGTTGCCGTTGGCCGTAGACGGCGCGTGGCGTGCGAGGACCTTGTAAACAAGCGACCTTTCGCCTTTCGCGCACGGCGATTACACGAGAGGATTCCCCCCCGAGAGGTACATACACACGTAGGTACGCAATTCGACGCGCGCACGTTCCTGGTGCGTGCCCCGCCGCCCCCGCCGCCGGCGATCGGCACGCATTTCGGGAGCACTCGGCGGGGCGAGAGGCGAGACGCCCGCGGGAGAAAAACGGCTCCATGCTTTTGCCCGTGTGTGTATATTTCGAATAAATATTTTGATATTTTGCTCGCGACCTTTCGCGGCCTTCGCAGTTCGCGGGGGCCAGCCTTCGCGATTGTTCCTCGACAGTCGTCCCCTTCCTCCCCCCCCCCCCCCGTCGAAGGGAGCAACGGAATATAACGAATCTCTCGCGACCGAACAGATCCGGCACGGAGTTGGAGCTTGTGTGTGCCCTGCGTCGATTCCCGCGTTTTCTCGTCTCGCAGCGCCTTCGCCCCGGGAACCGAAAAATCCGTAAAATCGTGAGATTTATCACAGAGAGCCACGCGAATTTCCATGCCGGCGGAAAGCGGGATAATTCCACGTCATTTCGGCGACAAGTTCGGCGATCTTGTCGGTTAGGTTCGTACAGGGAGCTCGATTGAATCGTACAACCGAGAGCTCCACTTCTACGTGACCTCGTAAGGTCATACGTTAACCTTCGATTGTGTTTTCTCTGAGTCAAAAGTATCTTGAGAATACTTGTGAGAGAGTGTAGAATGTTCTCATAACCTTAAATTGTTGCATTTCTCACATTAATCCCGGGAGCGATTGCCCAATTTCTTTTTATGCAAATGATCACCTCTCGGATTTTTTACACGCTAAGAAAGTCACTCTTTTATCCTATTAAAAGACGCTATTATTAACTATCTATTGTGTATCATTAATTGTCTTATAAATTATTGATTATTTATGATCATTATGTATATAGATTTATTCAATATTTTTTTAAAAAGATAAGGAGAAATAAAAAAAAGAACAGGTTTGATTTTTAATCGGTAGAAAAAACTGCTTTCTTGTTGGACTGGAGTATAAGAATTATTCCAAGTGATTTTTCCAAGATTAACAGGGCGATTTTTTTAGTTATTTTAAAAATCAAATTATAGATCGCAATTACAATTAAATTTAGTCATCGAAATTAGAATAGATATCGATTCTAAAGTCGATGTTTGGAGTCATTTTCACTTTTGCAAAAAGCACACAGAAAATTACTTTTAGAGCATTTATTGATCAAATGTTTTTTTAGTATTTATTATATATATTGCTTTAAAATAAATAGGAAATTAATTCAACTTAAATTTAATCATCTACATTGATGTACATTAATAGCACTTTATAATATTACTCTTATACAAATTACATATTTAACACATTGCTTGATGTACATTAATAGCACTTTATAATATACCAATATTACTCTTATACAAGTTACATATTCAACACATTGCTTGCCCTATGAGTTTTGTACATGTGTGATTTCTGTGTGTATCGCAGAATTCTCATTATCATATAATGTTAAAATATTATGCAATATGATTAAATGAAATTGCGTTTTGATATTCACTGTTGCTCTGGAGAAAAATTTTGCTAGCATTCTTTATATTTTTATTTTTTTAGAATTTATATAATTATAATTTTATTATAGTTTTTCTATACAATTTTATAATTTTTTTAAATTTAGATTTAGATTTTTTTATTCAGATTGAAACACTTTTTAACAACGCTGTAAAAGCCTATATCTTTTCTAAAATTCTTTATGTAGATGAATTCTAAAATATTCTATGATTTGTCATTCTATAATTTCGAAAGGAAACTTATTTAATTTCTCTTTAAAGAAATTTCAGATATTTTCAGAAATTTAAAAAATTAAAAATATAAGATATCAGAATTTTTTCACACAAAGACAGTGATGAAAATGTATTGCATACGTTACGTGCATAGATTTAAAACACTAACATGTCCCATTTTCAGCACGGAACATAAGCTTAAAGATTCTGTTCTGTTTACATCTTTAACAATATTATCGAATGATCGTCGTTTGTGAATAACTTTGCCTTTTTTATAAACTTCATTAATAAAATGATAACAAAATTGTTGTAGGCATCTTTCTAGCTATTGTTGAGTTTACGACAATTTTGTTGTTATAGAATAAGAAAAATTATTCACTAATGACAATCATTCAATAATAATCAATAAGAATTACGGAATAGGACTCTTAGGCTACATCCTCATGTTGAATTAAGTACACCCTGTTTAACTTTACTTTGAATTTACTTTTTGCTTTAAATTGTGTAGCTGTTATTAACTGTTTGTATCCAATTTCAAAATTCTGTATGACATCCATTTTTTATTGTTAAAAAAAAATTAATAACGCCAGTCGCTAGTGACCATCAGAGTGCCACTGAAAAGTTAAGCATTAGACTTGTTAATTATGAAAATGATAACATATTTAACGTAAATGTAACACTTAGTATAATTAATTGTCAGTCTTTAAAACACAGCTCCAATGAATAATATGTAATATCACAATTAAATTGCCGAGGCAATTTAATTTTACACAAAACACACACACACACACAATATACTATAAATTAAACTGTAATTAATATGTAAACTAATTATGTGTGTATTTTTGTGAATAACAGCAATTAAATAAGAAACAAGAACACCAAAGTTTCGTCACATCCTAAAAATGGCACCCCCGAAAATACTTGGACAAAATAGACAAGGCAGCACTGCAACCTTGAGAAAAGGGATAACAACTAGGAGTCAAAATTCTTTATTGAACAATGTATTGAAGTCCAATGTTGGCAGAGAAACTCGCGCCAAGCGAAAAGCAGAGGTTTCGCCATCCAAAGAAAGAACGAATAAAAGATACGCCTTTGCAAACATCACCAACGTATGTATTCTTCTATCAATTATTATGTCAAGGTGTACTTAAATATATGCTTCAATTCGGTGGTCGGATTTGAATGTAACTTTCGACACGATTTTCATGTCTTCCCTCCTTGCTGCTCGTGTCGTAATAACAGGTTGTAAATAATGCCCATATTAGACTAAAGATTGAAATTTAACCAATCAAAGCTAAGTTCACTAAATTTGAGATTAATTTTCATTATTATAATTGGTTAAATTCCAATCCTTAGTTTGATATATATTAGGCACAAGGCACACGATGCTTCTGCTCCAGAAGTATCACGAATAAGATCAGAGATTCAAGGAAGAAATTTTTATGTCTATGACAGAAGACATGATCCTACTGTATACGAGGAATTCTTGAGATAAGGTTACATATCTTGAAGACTACATATTTTTAGCTTATTGTTAGGCATTTTACTTTACTTTATCTCAGGCGTTGCAAGTAGCAGAAAGAAGACAGTCGACATCGACACTCGGGTCAAAAGTGATCTAAATCCGATCGTTGCTTTAATCTATTCATATCACAGCGTTTTAATGTTCACACCAATGTTTTTGTTACATACATTACACTTGGTATTGCATTTTTTATTTTATAAAAAAATATTTTTTTTTCCTTTTACTTTATGGATCTGATAGGCCATTACTACGTCGCTAGGAGGGCAAAATCAACCAGCAAAGAAGGTGGTTATTCTATCGAAACCAGTTGATGAAAGTAATGTAGCTTCAGAGAAACCTGCAGACGTTACTGCATTAAAGGTTGTACCAGCGAAGGTAAAACAAGTGCCTCGTGTAAAACCTATTATCAAAAAAGATGATAAAACAGAGACTGCCAACAAAATTGTAAATAATAATAGACGAAGTGCAGATTTAGAGAAATCCGAGGATAATTCGTTGTACGTCAGTGCATTGGAAGATGTCAATGATAGCATAAAAAGGACTCGCAGAAGCAGCAATAAGGTAAACAATATTTTCTGCAATATATTATTACATATCTCAGAATCCACGAAAGAATTTTTCTTCAATTTTATTTATTTACAAAAACTTGTCAAAAAATTTTTTCTAGAGACTAAAATTTATTTTTTAAATAAATTTTATATAATTTCTAACATAAAATTTCTTAACAAATTTAAGAAATAATTTTTTAAACTGAGAGGCAGGCTTATATATTTACTATATTTTATTTTACTTTATTCTGTTAATAGAATAAAATAAAATACTTCATTCTGTGAACAGAACAACTAATTGATTACATATATACAGGTTGACGAAAAAGCAAACGACAAACATGTGGAAAAAGTTGAGAGAGAACCCACATCTCCCGCAAGTGAGAATAAAGTTTCGGTCGCCTCTGTGTTGATGGCCGTACCTGAAAGGCAATTACCCGAAGGCGTTCAGTGGGACTTCGATGTCGAGAATTGGCTAGACCCGTACCAGGTATCGCACTACGTAATGGACATCTTCGAGTACCTGAAGGAAAGAGAACGCCTATTCCCCATCGGCGATTACATGGACCGGCAAGTGTGCCTCTCGCAGTGGATGAGAGCGCTATTGATCGACTGGATGGTCGAGGTTCAGGAGTCGTTCGAGTTGAATCACGAGACCCTGTATCTGGCTGTGAAACTGGTCGACCTATACCTGACGAAGATGACAGTCGGGAAGGAGACTCTGCAATTGCTGGGAGCTGCGAGTCTCTTTATAGCAAGCAAATTTGACGTAAGTTTTTATAATTATGTATCTTCACCGCATAAATTTTTTTGCCTAATAAAATTGTACTCGAATATATAAGTCCAATAACAAAAACTTCTTAACTTTGGCTTTAGGAAAGAATACCACCGATGGTGGAAGATTTTTTGTACATATGTGACGGTGCTTACACGCAGAGGGAGCTGATCAAAATGGAAATGAATGTTCTAAAAGTAGTCAATTTTGACCTGGGAATACCTCTTTCTTATAGATTTCTTCGGCGTTATGCTAGGGTAAGTAATACACAGGACTATCAATTTCTAAGAAATATTCCAAAAATTCTGTGTCGGGATTTTAATGAGTTATATTATATATGTTACTTCTTCTGTGAGTGAAATAATTTTCTTTTAAAAAAAAAGGTTTTTATTATTCAGAATTAGATTTAATCCTAATTGGGGAGTAAACCCAGTTTTTTTCAATTACACGCCAAATCTCCAGAAAGTGTTATGATTTGATTATAACAAATGTTTTTCACAACTTGATAGTTTTATACGTTTTATAATTTTATTCCTCGGATTTTAACCTTAAAAATGAAAAAAAATTATCCAATTACGTTAACTTCAAACAGAGAAACATTAAATTTTAAAATGTCGTCGGATACACTAGACCCATGAATACTAGTTAAATTTCGGAGTGAATATCGGTTAGAGATAAAACTAATATATTTTCGAATAAGTATTAATGCATAAAACTTGAATAACTTAATAACAAATATCTAGCAAATGGAAGATTTATATTTGATTCTTTCGAGTCTGAGTAGCAAAACATCTGATATTTTTCTTTTTCAATATATGTATAAATATTATATATATACTCAATTATATGTAAAATTTATTGTGCAATAAACATTGCAAAAGTACACATTATCTTCAGATTGTAAAAGAAAATCTAATTAAAAACTAATTCTCCGGTTAGAAATTAGATGCTTTTAGTCTCCGATAGATTGTCTAGTTTTAGAATCCGATAGAATATCTTATTCGAATGGAATCTATAAATGTACGCTAATTCAATCTATTATTTGAAAACAGTGTGCCAAGGTCTCCATGGCCACGTTAACCCTGGCTCGGTACATATTGGAGCATTCGCTTATGGATTATACGATGATCAGGTACAGCGATAGTAAATTGGCAGCGGCGGCGTTACTATTAGCGTTGTTAATGAAGGATCTGGGAGGATGGAATCAAACATTAGAATACTATAGCGGTTATAAACTTGACGACATGAGAGATATTTGCAATCTTTTGAATCAGAGCCTGCATAAGAAACACAAAGATTCACTAAAGACTGTCCACAATAAATACAGCCACAAGTAAGTATTTATATTTATTTATATTTAGTTCATTTCGTATGAATATTATATATGTATATATATCATATATTATATATGAATAGGATGAATGTTGACAACTTGTCTGAAAAATAAGTATCTAACTATACTTATAATTTAAGTGTTATTTATATTTAATTTATTTCTTTTATATATATTATGTATAAACAGAATGAATATTGACAACTTGTGAAAAATACATTATACATATAATGTTATAATATATTTAATATATATTAACGTTATAATATATAATGTATTTTTCACAAGTTACTAATATTCATTATATTTCATTTTCATTCTAGGATTTTCTTCGAAGTGGCAAAGCTGCCTTTAAAAGAGACTTTAGACATATAATAGAAAGAGTACAAATAAGAGTAAATCGATGGAAGTCAAACTTGTAAGTCAAAGAAAGTGTCCCAAATTCAGTATAAATACAGACAAGTGAATTGCTCTAGTAACATAGCATTAGGGATTATTAGGGCTAGTCGTATCAATAATTGTTGAACAGTTTGAATGTTTGTTAATGCGTTGTAAATGCTAGCGAATGGCAACGCTGCTCTCTAAATTGTGTAATGCGTGAAACAGAGGAATGCGAGAAACGTAAAAAAATCTCGAATGTCAAAAAGTTTTGTCGCGAAACTTCACCGAGTTTTTTTATGGGTACATTAGATGGCGTATATATTGACTCATTATCTTTATTATTATTATTATTTATATATGTATATGACATGGTAATCTCTATATCACTTTACAGTCTTTACTATTTGTATAAGTCATTTTACTAATTCTTTTTCTTTTTTTATTGAAAATTTATTTTAGCGCCACTCTTTTATATCTTTGCGAGAGTAATCTCTCTCAACCTGAGATTTGATGTCGAGTTTTTTTTTCAAATATTTGCAAGAATAGACTGAAAAGTAATGCACGTCGAATTGGCTCGTGAATGAAAAAATCTGTACATTTTCAAAATTTAAAGAAAAGAATAAAATTGATCTACTTTTTTTTACATGATCGCCCCTTGTAATCCTATAAATTTTTCCTAGTGAAAAATTTCTTTGGTAATCGTAACATCATCGTTCAGTTAGCTTCACCATCCACGGAAGAATACGATGCATTTTACGTCGAGAGAAGAAATGCGAATTGCACAACGTCAGATCTGTCGATCCGAATTGAATATCGTAACGTCTGTCGCAACATCTTTTATCGCGAAATTCGTACATAAATTTTGAAGCGGTCGGGTTCATATTTGCGAAATTAATTTTATTGCTCCAGAATCCACGCTTCGATTAGCGTTCCTAAACATGTCTCTAAATAATGACAAAATTTCATTAGATCGCACAAATTAGATCTAATTAGCATAATATATACTTGACTCCGACCATTGCTTGAGAATCATTGAAAGTGGAGCAAATTTGCCTTCAGTTATTAAGAGTAATCGAATATAGACACAACTGTTTCTATCTCGTTTCTCAATTGACTGTATGCGTTGCTTTTCAGCCTATCTCCTCGTAATTTATCTTCATTCAATCCTTCGATGCCTTTCACGAAAGATATTTTAAGGATTATACTTGCCGATCGTCGATTGATAGTGCGAACATGATTACGCAAGCGAGTGATCGTGTGACAATTCTCACCGAAGGTATACCGTCATATAAAGGGTGTGGCGCGTTGTTATCATTGTTGTATTTACAGTTAGGCTTCCCGTATATCTTCATCACAGGATCAAACTAACTTTTCTTGTCTGTCCCCTCCCGTCTCCATGCAATTTCAATATTGACAGTCTGATCATTGAAATATGATTGGAGGTCGAAGAACGAGAGGAGCATAAAAAAAAAGCTAACTAATTCCCGGGAAATGCAGCGGAAGCCTGACTGTAAGACGTAGACTGACTGAAGCTTATGTTGTTGGATGAGAAACTCGGATTTCTGTTACAGTCACGAAATGAGATGATAAAAAGCGAAATATTTATCGCAGATAATCGCGGATGATGTGAAAATTCCACATAGGGTTAGAGGCGTTTTCCTAAAGTATCCTATGTCTGATCTTAGATATCTAGCGATCTAATCTAGCTGTACTTCTAACAATTATGGCAATTTGTTTTTAGGTATGATTTAAAAACGCCCGTTTTGTACATTTAGCGAAGTAAGATCTCTATCGAAACTCGTAATGTAACACGTGAATGCTAAATTTGTGAGCGACAAACCGTTTCCGCTGGTAAATTGCGGTTTGTGTCTAAACTGAGAGCATCAGGATACCAATCGTGTAACTTTTTCCCTAAGGCGGAGTCGCGAAGAAAGAATTCGCCCTAGTGAAAAAAAAATTGATTGGTACCCAATTAAGCCATTTTATTAATTTATTCTGAAGATACACCTGCAGTACACCACTTCGAGGATCAAGAAAAGAGGGGAAGTTGATTTATACATGCTTGCGTGCCAAAACAGAAGTGTAATAAATTCGAAAAAGACCGCTTTCTCCGCGCAGTTCGTAGATCCGACGCTTCGAAATTTATATATAAATAGTGCTGGGTGAGACATAGTTCTTTTTTTCCAAACGAAAACGTTCAATTGGAATCGCGAGGAGAAAAACCATCTGTGATATCAACATTCGCTCATAATGTCGCAAAAAAAAAAACCGAAACGAGTGCGTGCGCGTCGTGAATTTTTTTTCTCTTCCCAAATGCAGGGTGGCCACGAAATCCTCTAATGTAAAGTTAAATGGCACAGAATTGTAGAGAATGAGATAAGTCCCATAATTTGGACGCTATTCTGGATATACGATTTTACGTCTAAAATGAGACCTATCGCATTACTGCGTTCGACGGGGAGATGCTTCAATCATTTGGCGCACTCTTACATTATAATTCTTTATTTGTATAATTAATATCATTTATTTATATTTTTTTATTGTGAGGAAATACAAAACGAAACATTAAAAAAGTAATATAAAAATCTTTCAGCGTGTATAAACGAAAAATAAAATATACTTAAAATAAGAGAGAATATATGCATATATAATTATCTCGTGGATCAATATACGTTACATTCATAACCAAGTTCTATGTGTGACAATCCTTTGTATTTCTTATTGAACGATAAAAAATCAAATTTTCAGTGTATAGTGAATCATGTGCAGCATATTTGACAATAATTATACAAAATGGAACAAAGAAATTTTATGGCTACCCGGTGTAATCCACCACGCAGCGACTGCTCAGTATTTGTACGATTGCGCTTGATCAAAAACATAATAATGTAACGCGCACCTTCGGAATATTAATATCCTCGTTAGATTTCTTTAGTTACCTCATAAAAAGCGAACTTATAAATAAAAATTACATGCACTGTACATATATAATCAATCACAGATTTTTATCTGTATATATATTGTACCCATAATTAATTAGGGCAAAATCAAAGTAAATTTATGTAAGAAATATATATATATATATACAAAAGACATGGATGCATGGACGATCATAAAATATACGAGGGAAAATTCAGAAGTTAAACTCCATCGATTTCAATGAGACTTGGCAGAATTACGGAGTGAGTATATTCTCTCGAATATAATGTCCCTATTCGGGAGGCAGATGATCAATCGTTTTCGAGAAATTTCAATATTTAAATTTCATTAGTACAGTTCAGTCCAACGTTATATTCCAATATTTGTGACGTGAATAATTGCCCTCTTAATTTACAGACTCAAGTATAAATTTAATTCTCAATTAATCTGTTTTTTCTCGTTATGTAATAATATTTTATGATATAAATAATGATAATTGTTAAGATATTACTATAAAACGAAAAAAAAATTGACAGGCGGGTTTTAATTCGAATCTGTAAATTAAGTGGCAATTATCTACGTCAGATATTCGAATATAAACGTCCTAATATAAAACTCTACTAACTTTAAATGAATTTAATATTGAAATGTCTCAGAACAGTTGACTGTATGCCAAGTACGATTAATGACGGAGAAACTCACTAAGTAGTCTTGCTAAGTTTCATCGAAATCGGACGGAATACAGTTTTGAGCCTTCGCTTGTTAGCTCTAAATTAAGTTAGTATGTACATAATTAATAATATATTTTTTTACTATCAGTAAATTAATGTTTATTACGCTGAGATAAAAGTAAAAGATGTGTGTATGTGCGCTATAAATGTGAGATGTAATTTAATAAAGTCATAATGATACTTAGTCCTGGTCGTGCATTATTTTATAAAATAAAAAAATTATCAAGGAAATCTTACGTTATTATTTCATTTTTAGACAAATAAAGCGATTATTAAAATTGTCAAGTAAACCTCAGAGATCGATAGGAAAAAAGTTAAGTTAAAGTTTATGTGCTTTAGGGTTCCATGCCTAGTCAGCCACAAATTATTGGCATTATTTTTAAAAAATTTAAATTAAAATTAATTTTAGATATGAAAAAATATCTAAATTATTTGCAAACTAATTTTTATACTATAATTATTGAAAGATAAAACAAAGAGAACGTAAGAAAATATATTTACATTAAACAGAATTTTATAGTATATCACTGCACATCAACCAGTGAAAGAATATCTATGGTTAGGATCAGCATTACAGGCAAAGTGGGAAAAGTCTTACGCTGGTTTTGACACACGCGAAACGGACAAATTTCTGGCCGATCCATAAATATTCTTTTGCCGGACAGAGCATTTAAGCAACATATATGATATCTTGAATATTTTTGAATATAAAGATTAAATCGTATCAAGTACTACGTTCCACATTTCTCGCGATAAACGTAGTCTAGAAAATAATTACGTAATATGTGTATAACAAATATCTTGATTCACATCTATTTACCAGCTTTCTCAGTGTTGATCATTATCCAATCGTCTGTAAAAAGATTTTTTCTATAAGAAAATATAATCCCGGGTGTCAGCGTTACTTTGGCACTTGGATATAAAGATGATTTTTTAATCAAACTTCTGTGTATCCACCATGGATTATAATTTGGTTTGAATTCGACCACCAATATCTTTTGGCAAAGAAAATATGATTTGTTGAATTTATCCCCTTCTATTTCTTGATGTGACATATAACTCGAATAATTTATAGATGCATTTGTCATCAAGTCCCATTTTCCGAATACACCCCTGTAAGATGGGTCTAAATCGTAACATCTATAATAGTTTCGTTTTCTCTGTTGAAAAGGTCTTCTTGTTTCCAGTTTATTGTAGGATAATCTCTGTGCGTTAGCCAAGCAAAAAACTCATTTGATATGTTATATCCACTCTTTTGACCTAAGATTTTTTTAATGGACCAGAATTCGTCGGGAGTTACTGAGTTAAACATGCTATAACAAAAATTTTTTATGTGTCAGTAAAAGGTTTAATCGTTTGAATGTAAATATATGCAAAATTGTATCTTGACTAGCACAAGTGCATAACATTATATACCTAATACAATTCTATGCAATTCTAAAAGTAAAAATTGTGACTATTTATTAATCGTATAAATAATTCAAATCTCATAACTTTATTTACATGTTTTACATACTTTCTTTACAAATGTTTGTTAATATCAAGAATTATAATAAAGCTGCGTCGCGACGAAGAATGTAATAGACATGTCAAAATTTCTTTCTGAAAATTACTTACTCCAGTATTGCACGCTCTCCATAAATAAACAATAAATATACATACTTTAAATTTAGTAAAAATCAGGTACGTACTTGCTATTACTATACAGATTCAGTTTTAACATAATTTTATATTATCCGTACTCATATCCGTATTAATCGTTAATTAATCTGTTGTAGCTTTAAAATTACTATCGACTTGAGAAGCTTATTGCCATTTACAAAATAGTTGCAGGGAAATATAATACTTTTTGTTCATGCTTGAATAAATATTAAAGAATTAAAAATTTCTTTATCTAACAATAAGCAGAAAGGGTAACTGAGTATAAATTGGATTGTTCGAGAAGTTCATATTATGAAAAGTATTCATTTCAACGCGTCATTTAATGAATGTTAGGTCGAGATCTTATTCTTAGACATCAATATCAACTAGACATAATAGGCTACATCGTTCTTTCAAGGGAGATAGGTGGTATTTCAGAAGAAAGAAGAAGCTTAGATGAGATCGATTGAGTTTGTGTTAGTTACTGATTGTAAAGATAGAAAATAAAAGGGTACAATATTTTCGGAGAAACGCGTTGTGCAGACCACGGAAAAAAATTTGTAAAACGTATGGAGGTGATGCCATTGCTTTACCAACTTCATAAGTGATTCTCAAGATTTTTGAGGCGGATAATTTTGACTAAAGACTCTGGAAGAGTCTTCGGTCGTGGATGACGGCCAAATTAAAGCGCTATTCATAGAAAAATTTAATACTGTAAATATTAAATTGGTTGGTGATTAATTACTTATTTTAAGTCTTAAAAGTACTATTTTTGAATATTAAATATCAAAATAAGTAATTAACTAATTTAATATTCACAGTATTAAATTTCTCTATAAGGGTAATCGAAAACAACCGAAGGAAGTTGCACGCATTTGACTGAGATGTTCCTACCGCATCTACCGATACTTATCGGACACTGCGCCATCTGATCACTCGTTCCGACCTTTAAATTCTTTGAACGAAAAAAATATTCGGCAGTCTACAGACAGTAAAAACTAAAAACCCACTGTGAATGACTGTTTTGCCTACAAATCAACCAAGTTCTTCGAGACATGAGTTCAAAGTAGCACAACAGAATGGTGAATAGAGTTTTCATTTAGTTAAAAATTGCATTTCGTTCTGACTACAAAAAAAACTCATACTTCTTGAACAACCCAATAGATTATTTGAACAAAATTTTTATTATGTATCTAATATAAATTATATATTACTTTTTAAAAAAGTGTTTCTTTGTGACAGTTCATTGTGAAATACAGCGTATCTTTTTTTATAATTTGCTTGGCAAATTATATTGTACGTTTATGTGCTTTTTCAACAAATCATCCGATTTACATCTCTTTCGAGATTTTACATAAATCGATACGTCTCTGAATAAGTGTCCAGGGGAACGTTTAAAAGACATCCTATAAACGTTTTTATATCATGCAGATTATTTCGAAGAAAATCGAAATCCAACATGTATATATCACAACGCTTCAGTCTTCACTATAATCACTATAATGTACGTCTCGTTCGTCCAATATTCATTTTCTGAGACTGAGGCACAAGTATTTTCAATTACGTGAATAGAGAGAGAAAGAGAGTGAAGGATTGAGACACAAGTATTTTCAGTCACATGAATGGAGAAAGTGAAGGGCAAAAAAAAATCGGAACTTCTACCACGGATCCCTTAGCACAATTTTTATCCTCTAATTCGATTCAGATACGAGCTAATATCCATCTTTAATTAATCTCGCAACCTCCTATTTCGAATATGTCAGAGGTCGTAATTAAGCTCGAATAAATTGACACTTTCATTTTATAATATCTACAAATCTCGTCTAAAAACTGTATTCAAGAAATTTTTATTAACCCCTCGAATACGTTATTGAATATACTTTGTAGATTAGTAATAATATCTCGGAAAACGTAAAAGTCCAGGAGATATATCTATAAAAGCCTAAATTTCTCCTTAGATCATTTAGAATTCCTTTGTTGTCCGGGATAAGTCTTACGAGATTATCCTCTGGACCTGAATGGCTTACGTGCTCAATATACATATCCCATTCTGAGTAGCGCGACAATGTACGCCCTCGTCATTCGTCAGGGCTTCTCATCCCTCGAAATTCGTCTGGCGTGCAATCTCATGCATCGAGGACACTCAAGCTTGTCGGAGCTCTGCTTGCAATCGATGTGGAAGCACGCGCCGCACTTTTCACATCGTATCACCTTCGACAGATCCCACGGGAATATCACGTCCTTGGAGCAGCACAGCTCGCAGACAAATCCTCTGGCTTGGCACAACTGAAAGAAAAACAAATGATTCCGCGTTTACAATTAAATCATTCATTGTCTGAACAATTTCGACGATGCAGAACAAAAGGAATTGAGAAATTCGAAATCTTATTGGACTTATTGAATATTATATATTCTACTAAAATATCTTAAGGGGTCATGCCACCTTTGAGGCCCTAAAATGATACCCAAGTTTGGGATTTTTTCTAAGTAAACAGATAACTTTATTAAAAAATTTACTTTAAAGACATTGTTGTACATATATAATAAAGCAGAGAAAATATTTTTTAATTCTTTTAATGTTCAAAATGGTAACACACTGGCCTACTTGCTGAATGCCTTTTTTCTAAATCTTGAAATCGGTGTACAAGATTGCAGGCTCACAGTTTGACCTTGAACAAAATACAAAGAATTTTCATTGTCTACATATTAAAAACTATGGAAGTACGTAGGGATTTTTCTAAATATTGATTTTTCTCGAAATGGCAGCTATTTTACGAAAAATGTGTATTTTTCGCCAGTATACAAGTCTTTCTTAAAATAGCTGCTTAAAATAGATTTCGAGAAAAATCAATATTTAAAAAAATCCCTACGTACTTCCATAGTTTTTAATATGTAGCTAACAAAAATTCTTTGTGTTCAGGGTCAAACCATGTACCTGGAATCCTGTACACCGATAGAAAAAAAGGAGTTTCGCAAGTGTAGGCCCGTGCGCCGCGGACATAAGAAAAATAAAAAATATTTTTTTAGTTTCTTACATATGTATAAAAACAATGTTCTCTAAGCAGATTTTAAATAAAGTTATCCATTTACCCACAAAAAAATCCCAAACTTTAAGTTCTAAAATCTCAAAGATGGCATGACCCCTTAAGTAAAATTTTAACTTAAAAGAATCACTCATGAATTTTTCCAATATCCATAATTTGCAGAACTAATAGCGTTTTCAGACGGAGCGAATTTAATCGCTCCGGGAGCGATTAATGACGTCACATGCTCCATTTTAGATTTCTGATTGGACGAGGAGAGCGTGTGACATTATTAATCGCTTTCGAAGCGATCAAACCCCTTCCGTCCGAAAACGCTATAAATCTTTTAAATTAAATTGAAGATTAAAATAAAAATTAATTTCTGAATCGTTGAATTGATTAATGGGGTTTACCTCGCAGTCTACAATATGTGCGCAACAAACTTGGACGAGCTCCTGCAGCCTGACGAACAGCACACCGAGCTTGACGTTTATTAAGTCTTGAATCGAGTACACATGCGGATCGTTGATGATGTAATTCGGCTCTTTCTTCAGCACGTCTTGAAGACTACAACACCAAAGAAATGAACGTTATCGAGCTGTCATACTTATTTCATAACGCGACATTGCAGAAGAAAAAGACTGAGATTTACCTGGTCGCGAATCGACACGCGAATAAGAAATCCTTCAGAAAGAATAACTTCGTGCGCAGAAGTCTCGTTTTGTCGAGCTGCTTTATTCGCCTGTATAGCAGCGGATTCAAGTCGTTCACTTGGAACAGCGGGTCCGACATCATCTGATCCAGCAATCGGTATGAGAAATTCGACACGGGATATCTGCGGAGCGTCGCAAGAAACCGAGTTGAAGGAACGTCGAGACTTTACATAGCTTTAACGAAAAATGTTTTAAGAAATTCGCCACCTGTTGAAATCCCATTTCGATAGAATTTTCCCTGGCACAAATGCCACCTGGTTTGTGTGACACCCCGTGCAGAAGTATCGACCCAGATACTCGCAGTACCGAAACCGGTTGGCGTATTTCACAGCGACCTTCATGCCGCAACCCGCGCACCTATAATTCTGCTTGGCTATCAGCATCCGTCTTCTGAAAGAAAAAAGTAATCGAAGCTAAGCAAAAAAAAATCATCAAACAAAGTTGCGAAAAAAAGACTATAAATATTCATAACAGAGTGAAGAAAAAAATAAACGAGCATCTGCACAATGAAATCTAATGTAATCTTATTGTTATTTACAGAATCTACATATCGCAATCTTGTGCGATATGCGTTGTACGAAAAAATTACAAAATTACTTGAACTGAAAATTGTAAGATTCACATATAAAAATATTATTAAGCACCAAGATCCCTTTTAAATTGTGTTGGCATTTTCTTATTTTAATTATTCAAGAAAATTAAGTTTCCTAGACTTTTGATGATTAATAGAGTAACGTTTACTTAACTCATTCATGATAATAATTCGAAAAACACGTTTTTTTTTAATTTAGTGCATCCTTTTGAGGCAAGAATATATTTTAAGGATATTATTTGCAAAAATCATATTTATAGTGACACGACAATATTCTGATTGTTTAAGAATGAGTATAAAAAAAGCACTAAAGAACGGCACTGATTGTGATTCACAAAAATTGTGTTATTCATCTTTTTTTCGCACTTACACCGGTGGTGGATGAGGCGTGAAAATGATCTGCGGGCGAGGCGGGGCCCATTCGACTGTCCCCCTCAGCGGAATAGTCCGCGCGTCCTCAATCTCGACCTCGTCGGGGCTGACCGGCCAGCTCTTCGGCATCGGCAGCAGGCGTTGCGGCGCGTCCTTCTCCGAGACCAGCCACTGCAGCTCGCTCGCCCTCGGCAGCTGCTTCTCGCTGAAGCGACTGATGAGGGACAGAGCCACCCCCTCGGCGGACACGCTGCTCTCGCTCACGTTGGAGTCCGTGGCGTATCTCGCCGCGCGCGACTCCGCGTCCGAGAGCAACGACGCGGTCGACGCGGACATGCCGCCGTTCCTCAACGTCCTCCGCTCGTCGTCCAGTCCGGAGTCCTCCGTGGACACGCTGTCCTCCGAGGAGCTGCCCGGGGACGTGGACAACGGGCTGACGCTCTGATCGGTGGTCGTGGTCGTGTCGGTCCTGCCGTCGCTCAGCAGGTCGCCGCGGCTCCAGCGCCTGCCGGTACCGCGGCACCTCTCCTCCTGGCGCTGCCGGCGCCGCAGCCGGATGCGCTGCTTCAGCCGGTTGATCTCCTCGTCGCTCTCGTCGTCGGCCGCGTCGTCCAGCAGCCGGCGCTGCAGACGGTTGCACTTGACCTGCTCGATCGCGGCGATCATCGCCTCGCAGACGCTGAAGTGCGCGTTCTCGCGGTCCAGCTCGGCGTCGTGGGCGCGCGAGAACCGCGCCGACGACAGGAAGCTGGTCAGACTCTGGCCCTCGGCCGGCCGCGGGAAGTAGCCGGTCGCCATCGGCTGCACGCTACTGCCGCCGTCCTCCATGAAGCTCTTCCGCGGCGTGCGGATGTCCTTCTGTCCCTCCACCTCCGAGCTCCAGCTGCCCGTGAACTCGGGCGCCGAGCCCACCAGGAAGGACGTCTTCTTGCGCTGCGTCCACTGGTCCTGCAGCGTCCTCGTCTCCGCCGATTCCGCGATCGCGATCGGCCGCGTCTCCTCGACCGTGTTGCCGACCTTCTCGCGAACACGCGAAGCCGCGTTCTCCGCGTTCTCGGCGGCTTTCTTACCCCGGCTGTGTTTGGCCTTCGTCCGACTCCTCGTCTTCCTGATCGGCGTCTTTGGTTTCGCCGTGAGTTTGTCCACGCTGAGATCAACGGGCTGCTTCGAATCCGCGTAATTGACATTTATGATCTCCGCCAATTCAACGGTACGACGTCGGTTATTGCTGTTGTTGCAGTTGCCGTTCTCCTGAATCGCCGGCGAGATTAAATTTTCCACGACTGCGCCACCCTTGACCAAAGCGGGCAGACTGTTCCACGTTTTCAGAGGTACATCGTCGATCTTGGAATTGTCCCCTTGTGCGTCACCGTCAGCGTTAACTTGTGCGGATTTTGACATCTGACTCTCGGCGTCGTTCGTGTCGCGCGACACAGACTGCGTCGAAGCCTTCAGTTTGTCCAGTTGACATCTGCTGAGAACGCTCGTGCTCTTGTCGCGCGCGAGGATGTGACTGAGGCCAGAAAAATTTACCGGATACGAGGACGAGCGACGGTGTCGCCTGGGACTCGTTTTAGGAGATATCCACGATGGTAAAAACTGCAAATTAAAATTTAAAAATGAGCAAAAAATTATTTAAAACCACGTACGGTATCGTCATGTATTTGTATAAAGCAAATTTTTGAATTTCAAAATCCTGAGATTTTTAACTTTAGAATTCAAATTTAAAAATTTTTCCTATTTTATTGCAAAGATTTTTAACTTTAGAGCTCAAATTTCTTAAATTTTTTATTTTAACGCAAAGATTTTTAACTTTAGAGTTCAAATTTTTTTAATTTTTTACTTTAAAATGTAAAGAAATTAATCAAAAGGAAATTAATATAAAAACGATAGTCATGCGTGCATTTACGTTGCACAAAACAAGAAAATAACGTTAAGACTACTTACTAAGCAAGGATCAATTTCTGCGAGCAACACAGGCTGATTCCTCTCGACCGCTCTTAGATACAAAAGTGTCGCCTCTGCCAAGTTCTCTTGACAAAGGAAGGCCCATGGTTCCAGACAGGAAAGCAAATGTTCCTTATCTGATAGAAGCCACGATAATTTATGTGATAGGGAGTGGCCCTCTAAACTATAAATTGGTTACTCTTAGTGTTTGTCCAGCGTGATAAGAAAAGCTTCTTGAGATATGGACACATTCAAAAGAATACACCACATGTTTATATATAAATACCTTTTGTACAGCCACAACATGTCTTTCTTGGATGTTATCCTAGCTGGCAAATTGCACAAATAATCCTCGTTTTCCGACAGTATTGGTGATGTCGCCAAAGACGGTTGGAGCCAATTCAGTCCTTGAATGAATATCCAACAATCCGGCTCACCCTTTAACAAATTTTTTTACGACATGAGATTTATGCAGCAAGATGCCCTTTTAAACGAACAAAGTCACTTGTATTTATTGTAGTTATTGCAATTTTTAATCGTATTAATATTAATGACCTTTCGATACAAAAACCTAATTTTAATTTAATGTCAAATATGCTTAAAATTGACAGTAAACGATCACTTTAATCCTTTCGCCTGCAATTTTGATAACAACACACTCATTCGATTGCATTTGACAAAGATTTGAGAAGAAAAAAGTGTCGCTCGGCACTGAGAAACTAGTAACTGAGCACTAAAGTTGACACTTGTTGAAAGTTAAGAAACCTGTCATGTTTTTTCTTTTTTTTTAAATCAAAATTGAAGGTGAATGGATTGAAGTAAGCATTTCTGTAATTCCAAAATATCTTCAAGAAGAAGCTGTTAGGAGCGACAAGGTCAACTAACGTCAGGGTCGAATATGCGACAGCCGTGCTTGAATATCCGCTCCATCACACTGTGCAGCCGGTTCAGGCCGCCGTAGACATTCCACACGTTGGACACCCCGTCGATCAGCAGGCCCTCCACAGTGGAGCGAAGGCTGTGGAGGAGCTGCCACTGCTCCTTGTCGCGAGTGTTCTCCGACATCCCCGCCCGCGGACCTGCGGTGACAAAACCGTCCATATTTCAATCGTCCTCGACAAACAAATTAATCGTTATTAATCTGCCTCAATTAAAATTCTCCACTTACCTGATCGCGATATAGATTACGACGATCAAGAGGCGGTGACAGGCCCTACCATAGCTACGCCACAAGGGAGGCGATCACGCGGCGCTCCGACGTGCGAGTGAGACGATCTCTACTCATCGTCGAGAGACTCCTTTGGTTAAAATAATCCACCTAAATCTCTCGAGCGTGTAAAAATCGACGTTGAAGCGGAATATTTATATATGTATATCTCAGGCCGAGATGACAGCTGTATAGAGGCCGTTCGATCGCCCGTCCAAGGTGACACCCAGGTAAGGAGCGAAAGTCGCTGGTAGAGCAGCCTCGCCGGAGCCTTTAACTCGTAGTCATTCGCTCACCGTGCACGGGGCACGCACTGGGAGGCTGCTCTCGCTCCAACACAAATGCTCCGACAACGCTATGTACGTACAGTAGCAGCCGCGTAGGATTAACGCACTGTCGCGTGCTCTCGCATGCTAGTCGCACGAGTCGCGCGACAGCTGACATCCGCCCGTGATCGACGTGCAGCACACGCGATAAACCTGACGGCGGCGATGGGGGCGGGCAACTCCCGCTGCGGGCTCGATCACGGATAGTCGCGCGACGGTGCTGTCATGTGGCTCTGGGTGGCTCATTGAGATCAGAGGAGCGCTGTTTACGCTGGTTTACGCTGGTAACTATAGGTAACTCGAGACTTTGTAGTAACAATCGCGGCGGATCCATGTGTTCCGTAGACGGGCGACAGTCAAACTCGCGAGCGCGGCGACCTAAACTGACGCCGTCGATAAGCGTGAATTATCGACAACGACGCGATACGCTGCAGTATTTTATATAATAATTTATTATTATATGATATATAAAATTTTACGATAAAAATATTTCGTGATAAAAATTTCTTTTATTTGTGTATGTCGTTTGTTTGCGAGGTATATTCAATTAAATGTATTACGTTTATAAATAATAATTTTTTTTTATTTTGTTTTTCTGATTTTTAAATTAGATAAGACTGATAAGAGAGCATTTATGTAGAAATAAAACTTTTGAAATTGTAACGCTCGGAATTTTTATTTATGTCTCTTGCTTGATTTTCTGGCTGTTTGATATTTTATTTGCAATTTACAATGCCACATCGATATATATGTATTATATAGTTAACAATTGTATAGTTAACAAGTTTGATGTTGGTAAATATACTATAAGCATATGTATACATAATACTAACAATAAATACCTAATTTAAAAAAAATGCTCCCTTCTCCGTCCCGCCTCTCAATCGTAAATCTTAAAATTCAATTGTTCAAAATTTGATAGAATATAACAATTGAGAAATATAATTTCAGATGAAAAGTGATACTAACGGAAGATCTAAGAAACTTCAAAAAAATTTTTTCTCATTGGTTGATACAAATATAAAAAGGACAGTTTTTAAGAATTTTTTAAAATAGGAAAGAATACGCGATTGAGGATTTAAATTTAATATTCAAATTTTTTATATCTTGAACTATTTCATATAATACATATATACTTAATTTTCTTTGTATTTCATATAAACAAGAAATAAGAAGGAATGAATATCATCCTACAATTATAATTCAGCACAATTTAATGACAACAAAGTATTAATTATCTGTTAATTAATATTAATTGTAAGTTAATTAGTAATTAATTAATATTATGTACATTATACATACATCTTGTCTCACAGTTCTTATAATAATGTTGCAGTTACCTAAGCATCTTCGAAAGGCTGACCTTAACGATATTCATAGCTCTTACATAATGGAGAACGATGAGATATGCAATAATACACTCAAATCAAAGTTGGAGATTGCAGTAATAACAATTTTATCGCGCCAGTAAGATAACAAAGCCAAGTTCATTGATAAAATTTCACTGTTCACAATAAATACGTGACAAAGACACAGACAAAATATTATAATTATAATTATAAAATCAACTTTATTTTTGGCATTTACATGAATTATATTAAGATATTCAACGCTCTTCAACTATTTAGGAAAAAAAAAATCATTTCCATTATTACATTATTTAATTATTATTATTATAACAAATTAGTATGTCATATTTATAAATTTAAGATTTTTATGATTATCGTATTTATCACATTTATTATTTACGATATGTTTGTTAAATAAAATTAGTGATCTGAATATAATTAAAGTGTTACATATAATTGCAATAATTTGCGTAATTATATGTAAATCTACTGCAATTACCGGCTAAACATCATATTTATTATAGGATTTATTTGCAACAGAGTTTGCCATGAACTGTATTTATTCGATGTTTACATTGATATATAAGCTACGTTAATAACGTATGTACGTCGACGAATTAACAAGTCAGGAACAAAGTCCGCGCCGGGCGCGAGCCGACACCCCACGCAAAGTGCGCGCGCGCACGTGCGCGGTGCGCACAAATGCGTTCGAGAGTATCGATATATATGCTCATCGATATTCTCTCGTTTGATAATAAATAAACAATTGATGAATGATTGTCGACAAAAGGATCATTTCAAAAAATTCAATTCTTTTTTCATTATAATTTACAATTTTTCACGTAACAAAAAAGACAAGGATATGAAAGCAGCATCGAACTCGTGTAAAGCCAAGAACGCTGCAGGAGCGTATCGTATTGTAAAAAAAATCTCTCAGTATCGATCATTTTAACGAAGATACACGAAAAATCTACGTACATATAAAAGAATTGTTTTCCGATTTTACTTGACGTACCAAGAACAATTTAAATTATTATCTCGCTCGCGGTCTGAAAAATCGCGCATCGCGCGGCTACAACTTTTCTACGAAATTCAAAAGTCGCGATCTCTCGTTTATCAGCCCGAGTCCATCACGAACGTTCCCCCTCCCTTCTGCTACCCCTCCCCCGTGGGAGCCGCGGTAGCCGCACGGCACACACGCGCTACGCGCGAGCGATTGAAGCGGTGCTGTCCGTTCTCTCCACGCCGAGACGAGACACGTCGGAGTGTCGCTTCTTCGCACCACACACGTGTGCCGGTGTGCCGCGCGCGTGTTGATCCTCCGCATTTATTCTTCCTCCCCTTCGCGGATGAGAGTGCGTGGTGCCCGCGGTCCGATCCGAGTTGTCGACTTGTGGTGAAAATTATGGCGAGCTGCAGGCTGCTCGGCGCCCTCGCGCGCTGCTCGCGCGCCAACGGCGCGAGCCTCGCTTCGAAATGCACAGGTGATTACGTGTCCGCCGAGGAGAAGTCTGTCGCAAGGAGCTTCGGGCAGGAGCGCTGCGAATTTTGCTCTCTACGGGATATCACATGATCCGTCGCGTACCCCCTCCCCCCTTCCCCCCCGGGGATAACTTGTCGCTCACGCGCCGGGAGTATTCCTACTCGCTATTTAATTCCCTGTACACGTGAAACACGAGAAATGAACATGCCGAGAGTGAAGAGGTTGAACAACCTCCGGTCGGCAACAGTCTCCGGAGGAGAAAACGGGGAGAGACCGCGGGCACGGACGATTTTTGTGCATCGTCCGGCCGATGGGTCGCCGAACGAAGCGAATCCCTAATCGTGTGTTATGTCCATTTCTATACCAATGTAGATTAACTTTGATCACGGTTTTATTTACTTTTTATCTTTTTCCAATAGTTAAAAGTAGAAAAAGGATACGAAGTAAGTTAAACCTGGATTAAAGTTAATCTACGTCGGTAGAAATAGATATCAGGGAGCACCGTTTGCAGGTTAAGAGAGGGAGTGATTGCTCTTTTTTCCTCCCAAAACACTGGCATATACAGTGGATACAGTATATAGGTCGGGCCGGTGTATACGTGTCGAGCAAAATGCCGAAGTAGGCGCGCGTTCGACCTTTGCTCCCACAATCGAAGAGAGAGAGAGAGAGCTGGTGATGATAAGGTCGATTAGCGCTAACTTCGGTGATCGACGACTGGCACACCCGGCGGCGACCGGAGATCGAGTTATGTTATTTTGAGGAATATCTCTCTACATCTAATTGCTATTTGCACGGAGAGGTGCCGATCCGACAGGCGAATATTACGTGATCATGCTGTATACTTTAATTCGTACACTTTGGACCAGAAGTCCAAAGTACGAGAGTTCGAATCTCTCGTCGAGTTTTCGAACGAGCCGCGTGCTCGAAATCAAGCTGCGAAGACTCGATTGTTTTGAGCGACACTCGAGCTGACGAAGGATTCATTGCATTTATTGCCGACAGAAATTTAACCGGCTTTTATCGTTGTTTCTTTACATAATTTTATACACACGGTATATATATATGTATATATATATCGCCTGACTTTTACATCGCATTATTTCACCTTACTGAATCGAATTACCTTACGATTCGAATTAACGTAAATTATATAAAGATCCAAATAATTGTTTATTTCAATTTGAAGCGTTTGATGTTTGAATCGTTCGACCGTCTCGGAAAATTCCGAGAATACTTTATGTCATTCAGATACACACAGAGATAAAATGTATAAAAGTGTAGATGTTATGATGTATAACTGTAGATTGTGGAAAGATTAGATAATTTCTGTTTTTCTTTTAACTTTTTTTCATTTGTAACGAAAAAAATAAGTTCAAAGACTAAATAGTGCGACAGTATGTAAAAATATGTAAAAAAAAGTGTAAGCGAAAGGAAAATATTTATAATAGATATGTCTTGAAAGGATACATCAAATTGCCGAAACTGGAAGTCGAGAGATCATATCAGATTGTACGGATAAATTTCGAGATTGAAAAATAAGTTATCACAATGCAATAGAATGAACTGTTCAATCTTTGCAACCATCAACTCGACAGAATTAATACATTTAATTAATATATGATACATTTAGGCGTATGTATTTTTGTAGACTTATAGATAATCACTTTTAACATCAAAAAGTGACAATTAAGAGTGCAAGATATAGTACGAATATGTATGAGGTTTTATCACATAATGTAAATGTTGTAGACATATAAATGTTGAGCTATACCTTAAAATTGAGGAATTATAAACGTTTCGTGATAAAACGTTTCACAAAAGTTATTACGTTTTAAAATGAAAGATTTGAAAATATTTTATTAATGAAATTCTCTTTTATATTACAATGAAATTATTGTATATTTTATTTTATTACGTAATATTACACAATGTTACATATGAAAAAAATAATACCATTGTATTTCTGTGTATATTGTCGTTGCATTACATTTAATTGCTCATATCTCACATTTTTTATTCTCTCTGTGTGTGTAGGTATGCAACAATCAACGAGAACACTAGCAACCGAAGGAAATAGGAAATATTTTAAATACAAAACCGTTGGCGATGTAGCAGTCATCACCATAGATTCACCAAATGCCAAAGTAATATATAGTAATACATAATTGTGTGTGTCATTAAATATGACAAAATTATTTTAAAATTAAGAAGGAAACCACAATATTAATATTAACATAGATCGATCCTCACTTTATTGTTGATATATAGGTAAATACCTTAAACAAGGGACTGATGGAGGAGGTAGAAGGATTACTGAATGAAATTCAGTCCAATACTTTGGTGAACTCGGCGGTTCTTATTAGCGGGAAACCAGACAATTTCATAGTTGGCGCAGACATTACGATGTTACAAGCTCTTCCGGACGCAGACGCTGGTTATCGAGTAGCGAAGGAGGGTCACCGAATTCTGGATTTAATAGCGAATAGTACGAAGCCAATTGTTGCTGCTATTCACGGCTCGTGCCTTGGCGGAGGATTAGAGGTACCGTATCAATTAAAAATAAATTTAAAAAAGCATTTTGATAAAACAGAAAAATAGAAAGGAAAAGACAGAGTTATGAATTACTCATTGATTGCTTTATACAGGTCGCATTAGCGTGCCATTACAGGCTCGCCGTTAACAACAAGCAAACTAAATTAGGATTGCCGGAAGTGAGGCTCGGCCTCCTTCCCGGCGGCGGTGGTACTCAGCGTCTGCCTCAACTGATTCCCCTCCCCACCGCTCTGGATATGGTACTCACTGGTAAAAATCTTAAACCCGACAAAGCGAAGAAACTTGGCCTGGTGGATATCGTGGTGAACCACCTTGGGCCGGGAATCGGATCGCCCGCAGAAAAGTAAAAATATACTAGATAATAGAAAGCACATAGTATTCCTTCCAAACAGACACTGCTTAAATTTTTCGCACTAATTCCTTTTCAACAAGCTTTTATGTGATTTCAATAAGTTATTTATGCTGTAAAAATATTTAGATAACATTTACAGATAACATTCTAGATAGCATTAGATAACATAATTTCTTTGCTCGATTTGTATAATTTATATACATGTATGCAAGAGATTTACAGCATATATATTCATAAATTCTTCAGATAATATTTGTCTCGCCTTTCATGTATATTAATTCCATACATAACCTCTTTCTCTAAAGTTTGAATGTTGCCGTGCGTTAAAATTATATCGCCCGATTTAAAAGATCAAATTACGCTTTTCAGTACGGTGAGATACCTGGAGGAAACCGCGGTGAAAGCCGCGCAGGATCTCGCGAGCGGGAGATTGAAGATTGAACGCGGCCCGAAATCTCTCGTGGACAAGATAACGAAACAGGTTCTGTCCATCAACTTCGTCAAGGATCAGGTGTTCCAGAAAGCGAAGGCCCAAGTGATGAAAATGACGAACGGCTTGTATCCAGCTCCGCTTAAAATCCTGGAGGTGGTGAGGGTCGGTCTGGACAAGGGTCCCGCTGCCGGATTCGACGCCGAGGCCAGGGGATTCGGTCAGCTGGCGGCTACGCCGGAGTGCAAGGGCCTCACCAGTTTGTTCTTCGGCCAGACAGCGTGCAAGAAAAATCGTTTCGGCCCACCCAAGAGTGCAGTCAAGTAGGTCTTTCAGTAAATCTTCAAACACTCTGGCGAAAATTTTTCTTTAAATTCTTTATATAATTTTCTACATTTCATCACAAATTTCTATATATTTTTATATAAATTTCTATAGAATTTCCATATAAATTTTAGAATTTTTCAAAATTTTTATATAATTTTAGAACTTTAGAAAATTCTCAGTTTTTTTTCTTTTTTTTTTTTTAAGGATGTTTAATACGTACAATAGTAGCAAAAAGTTAAAGGACTGATTTTGACGAATATGCTCTTCTCATATAGTT